TAAACTAAAGAAAAAGAATTAAATCTTTCTTTTTTTTACTGGCTGACATGCAAAAACGAATTGTTGAAAAACTCGACAATTTTCTTCCACAAAACAGAAAAATGTTATTAATTAATACATGTAGATTATATATATATGTAAAAAATTAAATCTTTTCAACAAAATTTTAAAACTGCACTAAGATTGAATAACATTTGTATATGATTGATAGTAATGAAATTTTAGTTTGTCAAATAGTTAAAACAAAAATTATTCATATAATGAATAATAAAAACAAGAAGAAAAAAAAGAGAGAAAGAAAAAGGAGAATTATTGGAAATACCTCAGCATGTCCATGATCAGCGGTTAAAATGATATTTAGTCGTTTCGAAAGATCTGAATTATTTTCTAGCTTATCATTAATATATTTGACTAACAAATCCAACTCTCGAATCCTTCCATTAAGCTTGCCATTTTTAAATCCATTAAAATGTAGGAAATGATCAGGTTCAGAAATATACCTTTGAAAGTACCATTCAATTATTTCATCAGTATTATAATTTTTCTATCATTTATTATCACATATCATTTCCATTGTATTATCATTATACGCCAAATATTTATCAATTTACGAAATCCTTTTTTAAATGATTTATATTATGTTAGACAAAACATATATTTTCATCGAATTCATGAAGTTGTTATGTTTTTTCTAATGATTATTTATTCCTGCAATTATAATTAAATTATCTTTAAATTCTTCCTATAAGTTAAAGAATTGTGTTAGAATAAAATAGCAATAATATCATTAATTATCAATTTAAGATAGTAGTCTTACCAAGCAATAAAATTGTAAGGATCTTTTTTACGTGCAAATAATTCCACAATTTCATCAAAATCATTCATCCACTGCGATAAATTCTTATATGCCAACCATGGCCTATATTTTCGAAATAGCAATAATAAATTATGCAAAATTTGTTGCTTAATTCCACAAAAATAATTAAATTAATTTGAATTAAACAAAATGAAAATAATGAATATATTATTTTTCTAGCGGTAATATAATATAAATGAATGGAGAATGTTCATATGTAAATGAACAAGTAAGATGAGAAATAAATAAATGGGTACTTAAATTCAACTATTATTTAAGTAAATGGGTAAATAAAATGAAAACAGAAATAGAATGATTATTTTACTTGTGTAATGTAGGCTTATGCGGTACAGATGGCCAATGTCCACTTCCTGTAGGCCAATACATAGTAGCTGAACGTCTTCCATAGCCACCTCGTTCATTGGTAAGCCATATTGGCTCACCATTATAAAAATGTCCCATTAAGGATTCATTTACTGCTCCTTTTTTTTGCGATGAATTGAATAAATCGAACCTTTACTATCATAGATGGCATATAGCATATGTAAAAATGTAAAATTAAATTAACTTTAAGTGTGAAAATTAGATTGAAATTTGAAATTTAAATTTTATAACAAGAATTAACAGTGAAAGCAAGTGGTTCCAATGAGCAAAAATATACAAATAAAGTACAATAATTTTGGTAATATTATATTAACTGTTAATTTTGATAGATAATTATGATAATTTTTACTTTAGCAATCAATTGACAACTTTACCAGTAAAACTTAATAATAATTTTTAATAAGAAATAAAAAGTAACTGTTATAACTTAATACTATTATTGTTTCTACCATGAAATAGTAATTTTGATAAAATTGACATATCGATAATACTTTTGTTAATTAATAGCTTTAATAACAGAATAAGTCATTACGTAAATTAAATGATAATTGTGAATAGTTGAGTGATAATTTTTAATAATCAATAAATAATTTTGACGAAAAAAAAATCAAATAATTGCTACTTACGAAAACATCCAAAAAAATCTCCCCCTTTCTCATTCTCTCTCTTTTATCCACCAAATATCTAATGAATGTTAAGATATACGTCGTATTAGTGGTCAAATCGTGGAAATAATTGCCAACAATTCCATGACTTTCAACCAAAAGGCCTGTCGCTATTGATGCATGATTTGGTGCCGTATAAGTGAGATATTGTGGACGACAACCATCTTTGAAATATAAGCCTGCGAAAAGTTTAAATTTTTCTGTTACACCTTTTAAATGGCATCAAACTTGTTTTTTTTTTTTAATTTTAAAATAATCGATTAAGCAAATAAAAACAATTTATTATATTATATGTTCGTGCAAATGTAAGAATTTTTCGACTATTTTATTTCTTCATGTTTTTTTCAGATAATGCCATATTTTCGCATATCGAAATTATTGAAG